CTCATGCACTCAGAAATTACTCCTGGTGGGGCTCAGGGGACCATATGGGGTGCTGGGAATCGAAACTGGGTCGGCTGCGTGTAAGGCAAATGCTCTACCTGCTGTGCTATCACTCCAACCCCCTTCTTGGCCAACTGACCAAGGATTTCTGGGAGTGAATCAGGGGCCCAGTGAGCACCACTTGGGAGGTCCTCACTCCCCAACAAAAAGGGTGATTGCTCTGGTGTAATGTAAACCTCAATGGCAAATTAAGTTAGTGATGGAGGTAATAAGAGGTTGATAGTGCCAGGGGGCAGCCACAGGACAGTGGAGACCTCTGATCAGCCTTGCTAGAACTCACCCTAAGCAGTTCCTTGTTGCTCAGTACCAATTCCTGTTGCATGATTTCCTGCATCCTGAGGACGGCGTATGGATTTCTCCTCTGACTCAGGGTCATCTGCCACAGACACTGAGTATGCAAATTTTGCCACCTGTCCCAGAGTTGGATAAATTGGTATTGGAGAAGTAGAGATTAAAAATTTATCAAGAGTAGGGCAATTTGCCTTGCCAGGGCAAATCTGGGTTTAATCTGTGGCATCCTCAAACACCACCAGGAGTAATTCCTGAGTACAGAGCCAGGAGCATTGCTGGGTGTAACCAAAAGAGAAAAAAATAAACCAACAAAAACATGTATCAGTATCAAGGGACTGGAGAGATAACACAACAGGAAAGGTGCTTGCCTAGCACATGGCCAACCCAGATTCCTGGTACGACCTTCAGTCCCCCTGATCTCGACCAGGTGTAAGCCCTGAGCACTGCTGGGTGTGGCCCAACGCCCCCAACCAAAACACAAAAAAACCTTATCAAAGGTTACTGTACCAGTACTTGAAGTTACTTGAAAGGGAAACTATTTTTTAAATTTTGGCCATACCCAGAGACTTGGGGATTACTCCTAACTCTGTGCTGAGGAATTACTACTGGAGGGCTCAAATGGCTGCCATATGGGCTGCCAAGGATCAAAGTCAGGTTGGCTGCATATGAGGCAAGTGCCCTACCTCCAGCCCCCAAACTGTTAAGTTCATTTTATGATATATAAAATGTGTGTGTGTGTGTATACACACACACACACACACACACACACACACACACACACACACATATGTGGCCTCTATTCAAATAAACTTTGTGATAATTTTTGGGGGTGGGGAGTGAGACGATGATCCTTTCATTTACTGTCATAGTCCTCCACAAAGTTCTCAATTTCTTGTGTATCTTTGCAGATAAATGATCATATACTAACAGGCTTTTCCTAAACATAAGACCATATTTATATCAGCATTATTAATATGAATAAACAACTTGGAGCCTTACCTATTAACAGTTTTCATACTGGCTTTTACATTTCTGTCTCTATGCTCAGGAAACCCCCTGGTGGGTCTCATGCATGCAGGGTATACATTTGACCACTGGATCATTGTTTTGGGGATGAGGGTGAGGGTTGCGCCGGCAGTGAAGGTTACTCTCAGCTCTAAGCGCAGAGGTAGCTCTTAAGCGGGGGCCAGGGATCTACCTGCCTTACCTGCTGTGCTCCATCTCAGGGCCCTGGTTAGCCTTTGCAACAGTAGGAAGTGACTGGGAATGTAGCTCAGAGGGAGAGTACCCACCTTGCTTACCTCACCTTGGGGTTTGAGTTCTGACAGGTAAAGGTAAAAGGTAAAGGCCCTCCCGTTGATAGTCGATTTGCTCGAGCGGGCCCAGTAACGTCTCCATTGGAGACTTTGTTGTTACTGTGTCTGGCATATCGAACACTCTCAGTACCTTGCCGGGCTCTCCGAGAGGGGCGGACGAATCGAACTCGGGTCGGCCATGTTGGCCGCTTGTAAGGCGAACGCCCTACCCGCTGTGCTATCGCTGAGTTCTGACAGGTTTCTTTTAAAAAACGTTTCTTTTGTTCAGAATCTCACCAGCTACCTTATTTTTGTTGTTTTAGACCACATCTAACCATGTTCAGGGAGCTGTTCCTGGATCTGTACTTTGGTGCTTGGGAGACTGCATATGATTTAAACAGGGCTCAGCTACATTCAAGGCAAGTACCTTATCTGCTGTACCATCTTTCTAGCTCCTGTTTTTTTTTTGGGGGGGGGGGCAACACCTAGAAGTGCTCAAGGATTACTCCTGGTGGAGGGGCGGGGGTTTAGGAAACCCTACATGGTACTGGGAATCAAATCTAGGTTAGCTGTGTGCAAGGAAAGTGTCTTTACATGATGTACTGTCTCCAGATAGCTCCAGGTTTTTACTTTTACTTTTACTTTTTGGTATGTTTTAGGCCACACACAGCAATGCTCAGGGGTTATTCCTGGCTGTCCTGGGGTTTGTTTCTGAGTGTTCAGAGGATCATGCCCACAAAGCATGGATTATGCTTGCTGTAAAATTTCTTTTCCAGTGCTGGGATTGAACCCAGGTCCTCACACATGCAAGGCTACTCTCGGGCTAATCTTTTTTAGGGGTGGGGGTGGTGGGGGGCACATCCAGCAATGCTCAGAGGTTACTCCTGGTCCTACACTTAGGAGTCACTTCTGGCAGAGCTGGAGGGTTCATATGGGATGCTGGGGACTGAATCTGAGTAAGCTGTGTGCAAAGTTCCATCCAGCCCCTACTTTCAGGCTAGTGTTCTGGGGGGTCTTCCTCAATCAATGCTTACTGCATATTAACCGTATGATAGTACGAAGTAAGCAACAACAATAAAAGAGGGTTAGATGAAACTCAATGGTTAGAGCGTGTATGAAGCCTTGGGTTTGATCCCAGCATTACAATGCACACAGGAAGAGGGTCAGCAAGCAGTTTAACAAACTAGAACACAGGCTTTCATGAGGAAGCCTGGGTTTGATCCCTGCAAAAACACCAAGAGTGAACCCTGAATACTGCCAGTGCCCGCCTTTAAAACTCAAAATCCTTTGGGGCTAGATAGGACAGAATAAGGTAGCTTGCCTTACATGCAGCTGTCCTAGGTGTGGCCCAAAGAGCACCGTTTCCCTCCGAAAAAGGAAAGAACAAAAACACAAACAAAAGACAAAACTGCTTCAAATCCTTGGAAGCAAGGGGCAGGAAAAAACCACTGTGTAACAAGTGTCTCAGCACGGCTCCTTTTCAGGTCATACTCAGCAATGCTCTGGGGTTACTCTTGGCTTTTTACACTCAGGAATTACTCCTGGCAGTGCTCAGGGGAACATAAGGGATGACAGGGATTGAATCTGGGTCAGCCCCATGCAAGGCAAACATCTTACCTGCTGTACTATTACACTGGCCCCCACCCCCCTTCTTTAAAATTGTTTTTGGGGAGTTCTGGGGCCACACAAGGCGATGCTAACTCCTGGCTCTACACTTAGGAATTCCTCCTGGTGAGGCTTGAGGGACCATACTGAGTGCTAGGGACTGAATCGCCCATAGGCTGGCTATAATTACTGCTGGCTGTCCTGTGCTCCTTCTGACCTATTTCCTTCCTCTGGCCTTTCTGCCTTTCCAGTTGATACCCTAGTCTTATGCCATGGCTCCCCATTTAGGGGACCTGTAGTCCCACTGGGATAACCTGGGGGCCCAGAGGACCATATGGCCCCCAGTTGGGTAACACTGGCCTAATTTAGTGGGTACTAGAAGGCAAAGAAAAAGGAATCTTCTCCACTCTGCCCCACCCACTCCATTTTCCTTTTTCTGTTTTGGGCCACACTTAGCAGTGCTCAGAACCTACTCTTGGCTCAGCACTCAAGGTTCACTCCTGAGAGAGTTTGGGGTGACCATCTGGGGTAACTGGGGATCCCACATAAAGTGCCCTACCAGCTCCAGCCCTTCCATTTTCCTTTTTGACAAGCTCCTGACAAGATGGAATTGAGCTGAAGTAGGCGACAGGACAGGAGGGTAAAAAGGACAAGCTAAAGTGTTACGGAAATAAACTGAAGCAGAATTTACCTGTCAATCTTCTTAGATCCTGGGGTGTTTTGAAACTTCTGTAAGAAAAGGATGTTGTTTAACTGCCTTTATTACTAGTATCTCAACCTAGAACCTAGTCTAGTGGGAGACAGGCCCTTCTTTTTGGGGGGGGGGTAATACCCTGCGAAGCACAGAGGTTACTCCTGGTGGTGCTCGGGGGACCATATGGGATACTGCGAATCGAACCAGGTTGGCTGCATGCAAGGCAAACACTCTACCCGCTGTGCTATCGCTCCAGCCCCAGGCCTTTCTTTTTTTGAGACTGGCCAATTTTCTATGTGGATCAAAGAAAACATACAAGAATTCGTATGAAAGAAGTCCCTGAATACCTGCTTGCCGCACATAAGCTTCTGTTCCTATTACTATTCTATCATGTGAAAGGCCTCTCAGGGAAAGCTCCATTGCAGCCCCTCCTTGTCCCTCTGCATACCTCTTCTATTTTTGACACCTTTTCTGTAGCCATGTCCACGGACTTGTTTGATAGGATCTAGGACTGAACAGGATCTTCTGTTTATCTTAGTTGTCAAGGTTTCGGTAGTCATAGCGACATTTACCTTGGACAATAACCCCAGGCTTAGGACATGATTGGTCATCTGGCTTGTTGCCCCAGAAACCTGGTTCTTCTGCGTTCTTTAATGACACAGGCAGTTCTGTGCCAGTGTTAAGTCCCCAGTTCGGCATTTCTACTGTTGATAGTGCCAGGATTATCCACTATGGCTTGGGATCCAGGATATTTATGGTCCAATCACTTCTCAGGATGTTATGTCATCCTGTTCTACCATTATTCAAGCACAGAGAACAGAGAACACATAACTGCACTGAACAAACCTTATTAAAAGACAACTGTAGGGGCTGGAGCAATAGCACTGTGGGTAGGGCGTTTGCCTTGCACGTGGTCGACCTGGGATCAATTCCCAGCATCCCATATGGTCCGTGGAGCACTGCCAGGAGTGATTCCTGAGTGCAAAGCCAGGAGTAACCCCTGAGCATCGCTGGGTGTGACCCAAAAAGAAAAAAAAAAGACAACTGTAAAGGAATCCTGGTTTCTTTAACTATTTTATTAAATAATTTATAAAGTTGAGATGAGTGCAAAGATCTGATCATCCTTTCACTGTCCTTTAGCATCCCCAATATATAAGGTGATGGGATTACTCCTTTAAAACATTTATGAAGAATGGAAGGCGGTGTGCAGGCCTTCACACATCAAAGCTTTAAGGTTCCAACACTCCAACACACCTCGGTTTAGGTAAAGCACCAGCTAAGTTGTTCTACATACCACCCATGGCCTCACCTGACCTCCCAGTCAGTGCCTTCCTCAAATCCAAACTTCCCATTTGACTGTGTACAAAGGGGTAGTTACAGAAGAGAATCACCCCCCTCAGGCCTACACTCACTTTTGGGATTGTCTGGAAAATGCAATGTGACTTAGAGGCTAGTCTTGGCCCAATTGCTTGGGGGTTGCTTCTGATGATGCTCGAAGGAACATGAGGTGGTAGGATGGAACCTGGGTCTTCTGCATGCAAAGCGCACTCCCAGCACTCAGTTATTTCAAGTAGAGGCCAACTCAACAGTGCTGGGGTGGGGTCTGGGGCAATTTCCAGAGGTGCTTCAATCTGCTGCCTGGGATCCACACCCAGTGATGCTCAGTGCGTGGTGTTAGGGATGGAATCCAGGCCTCATACATGAGAGGCACGTGCGATACCACTGGGCTACATTCTTGATCCAGATAAGAACTTTTAAATCAATGAAGGTCTGAAAACACTGGCCTTAAGGAAGGGTTGGTGAACAGTTTTCTAGATAGCTCTGAACAGTGGAAGCTTTGACACAGGCAGGTCTGGGTCAGCTCAACAAGCACACTGCAGTCCGTCTGACTCTATCCACTGCAAGAGTCCTTTAGCCCCATCATAGTGTGCTCTCCAATGTGTTATAGTTGTCCTTGAAGCTCTTCAATTCGAGGAAGTGCTTGGCACGTTTACTCTTCTGACTGGAGGGAAGGTATGTCACCTGGATGGTTGTTGGGGAAGCGTCAGGAGACTGGGTCAGATCTTTGGCGGCTGACTGGTGCTGTTTCTGAGAGCTACCACTTCGTGCTTTGATCCTGAAGAAAAGAGAGGGCAGAGAAGCCCCAGACTGAATGAAGATCAAAAGGAATACAGAGCAGGGCTCATCTGTCACAGAAATGCAGCTACAATAATCTCTGTCCTATCTTATAAATAAATCAATTTTCCCTGAGTTCCTGGCCTGTCTCTGGCTCAATCTTTTTTATTTTGGAGTCATATCTGCTGGTGTTCAGAGTTTACTTCTGGCTCTGTACTCAGGGATCACTCCTGAGATGGTTTGGGGACCACGCGGGGTGTTGGGGACTAAAGCCAGGTTGGCCTGGTGCAAGGCAATTACACTACCTGTCATACTATCTGACCCTCAGTTTTTTCTTTTTAGAATGCTTAAAACATACTACTTAATTCTGTAGTACGTTTAAAACATACTACTTAATCCTGCTTTTTCACCTCAAGTGTGTATGCTGCCAACACACTTGCACAAAAAAATGAAACAACTACTGGGTACTTTGGACATTAAACTTGGTGCTTGGGGCCGAAGAGATAGAACAACAGGTGGGTAAAGATGCTTGCCTGCAACTACCAGGAACGTTCCTGAGCACAGAACCTGCGCACCAAAGGGTGTGGCCCCCTCTCATGCCCCATACAACAGAGCTTGGTGCTTTATCAGTACTTTATTAACCAGTATCTGAAAAACCCTATATGGAGTTCTCACCTATTTTGTAGGTTAGGCAACTGAGGGCACAATAAGTAAACTGCTTAAGGTGTCAAAGCATGGAACAGATCAGGGTTGAAATTTACATGTGGGATGGGGAGATGGCTTAAAGGATGGAGCACATATTTTGCATGCACGTACTTTGCATGGAGGAGTCCCCAGTTCAACCCCTAGCACTGCATGGTCCCCCAATACCTCTGGGTGTGACCCTGGGGCATTAAGCAGGAAGCAGCCCCCAAGTGCCATCAGACGTGGCCTTCAAACAAAACAAAAATCTTGATTTTGGTGCTGGAGCAATAGTACAGTGGGTAGGGAGCTGCCTTGCATATACCAACATGGGTTCAATCCCAGGTATCCCATATGGTCTCCCAAGGACCACCAGAAATAATTCCTGAGTACATAGTCTGGAGTAACCCCTGAACACTGCCAGGGACTCAGGTATGGCCCAAGCCCCCCCCCCCCAAAAAAACCCTGATTTGTTATATTTCAGAGGCTATGTTCTTCATTACATCCCGTGAACATGTTTTGTTTTTGTCTTTGGGCTATATGGTGGTGCTCAGGGCTTACTCCTGGTACTGTGTTCAGGAATCACTCCTGGCAGGGCTTGTGGGATCACATGGGGTACCAGGTATTGAATCTGTGTTGGCTGCATGCAGTAGTACCCCATCCCATGAATTTTAGAAACCTTTTATTTTTTTATGATATTTTTGGGGTGGGTGGAGGGTTACACTGGCTGTGCTTATGATTATTCCTAGCAGGTGTGGGGCCATATAGATAGATGTCAGCGATAGAACCCAAGTCAGCCGTGTGCAGGGCAAGTGCCTACCCACTGTACTACTGCTCCAGGTCCTGACCCCTGAATTTTTAATAGGACACCCGCATAATTTCTAGATCAATACTGTTTTCATCCTCGTATATTTATTTTCATCACTGCTGTAAGATTTTGTTTTGTGGTTTGGTCTAGGCCCAGATTCATGCTTACAGTACCTGGGAATGAACCTGGGCCTCAAGCATGCGGAGATTGTGCTGCAATCCGTTGAGCTCACTCTTGGGTCCTTTTCTTTTTGATTATTTTTGTGTTTTTACTAGGATCTTTATTCTTTCAGAGTAAGATAGCTTACTTGTAGGGACAGAAAGGCGAGAGAATAGACATGCCTTTTGTTCTAAGAAAAAGCCACAGGCGCTAAAGAGATAGTACAGTGGGCAGGGAGCACTTGCCTGGCAGACCCAGGTTCAATCCGCGGCACCCCATCTGATCCCCAAGTATCGCCAGGAGTAATTTCTGAGTGCAGAGCCAGGAGTTATCCCTAAGCACTGCCAGGTGTGGCCCAAAAGCAAAACAAAACAGGAAAGAGCCATATTCAACACAACAGAAAACATGGATTCATTTCACAGCTAGTAACTTTGTATTCTAGACTGGTTTTCCTTCTAATTTCATTTTAACATATACATAAGAAGTATAAAGAAACTATGTTAGTATACATCCAACTTCCCCTGCCCCCTTCCAGACCCCCATTTTGCTTTATAAAGGTCATCCCAGTGTGAGAAAGACTCATCTACACCGAATTCTCCAGCAATTCCCTCTGACACATTCCCTTCCAACTCACACTGTGGCCAGTTCACTCAGGGCCTCCTTATACCGCAGGTACTCACTCTGGCCAAAGACCTGAGGAGAGAAGAAGAAAGGTTGAGGGTCTCACCAATGGGCAATCCTTCTCATTCTCTGAAGGACAAACTGGCTACCCTCTTACCCCTGTCCCATAGCGAGCTGTCTCATAGCCATCCAGCAGGGTATCGATGAGGGCCTTGCGCACGCCTTTGAAAGGTGTAGTGGTGCTGCGAAGGTCTAGCAGATAGGAGCGAAAATTCTTGCCCATTAAAGAACGGGGATGCCGGCCTTCAACATGAAACGGGATCTCTGAGGAGATAAAAAGCAAAGCTCGTTTTTCTCCTGCTCATTAATCTTTCTAGTTAATTTTCCAAATGTAGAAACAGGTCTGATGTATAAGCTGGGTGGGTGGGACTGGTATTTTTGGGTAATCTTTCCTTTTTAGTATTTTTGTTTTTTGGGCCACACCCTATGCTGCTTATGGCTTTTTACTGGCTCCTGTATTCCAGGATTACTCCTGACAGGACTCAGGGATCAAACCAGGATCAACCCCATGCAAGTAATTGTATGCATGAGACTTGGGTTCCATCCCTGACACATCCAAAAACCAAATAACCAAAGGCATAGAAGTCGGGCTAAGTGGTAATTTGCTGTCAGCAATGTAACTATAAGCTCTATCAATGGACCAGTGGCACAGAATAGTGCTGTTATTGAAATAGAAATCATGTTTAAGAGATAAATATGACAATAAGCACAGAATGAAAACAATTTTAAAGTCATGTGTCTTGGGTTTAGTGAAACAACTGTGTTGCCTGTCCTTTTGTTGTTGTTGTTTTCCCCATCCCTCCCAGCTGCCTGACTTGGCAAATCACCACCACCCAGCTCATGGAACTAATAGTCTAAAGAAAAGAACAGGGGACCGGAGCGATAGTCCAGCGGGGAGGATGCTTGCCTTGCACACATCAGACCCAGTTTGATCCCCGGCATCCCATACGGTTCCTCAGCTCTGCCAGGAGTAATTCCTGAGTGCCGAGCCAGGAGTAACCCCTGAGCATCGCTGGGTGTGACCCAAAAAGCAAAAAACATGATCTCTCCTTTGGAGAACAAATAATTTGCCTAAGTAGTTGGTGTTCAACAGTTCTCAGGCCTGCAGTTGAAAACTAGTGGTCTAAATCACTTTCCTAGGTAAGAGTGACCTAGAACTCTTAAAAGTCTAGGATTCCTATAGTCAGGGAGAGGCAGAAAGAACAAACTGTATGAAGAGAGGTCCCTCCCTTTTCCTCCAGGACACCTTTCAGCATCCCACTGAAGCTTGTCAAGAAGCCCTTACCAGAGGCACGGATGGCATCCAGAGCTTTCATCCTGTATAAATAGTTGTAGCAATCTGTTAAGAAAGAGACTAGTCTCAGTTAAAACCCTCAAGAGACTCTCCAACTCTAATCAACTGTTTGCCCACTTCTAACCTATACACAGTAACAGAGAAATTACACTGCCAGTAAAGTCAGAAGCTGTAATGACTGCTCCGAGAACAAAGGAATTCTGACATTGTGGAACTCCTCACTGAAGTGGAACATCCAAGAGATTGCTGCGTACCCTGATTTCCCTGGGTTTCCAGCTCTAATAGTCTTGCATCATCATCTGCAAGAAGTTGAGGTTCATACTTGACATCTTGAACCTTGGATAGTCGGATATCAATTTCCTCTTTCAAGTCCTGTTTATGTAGAAAAAAATAATACACAATAATTTACCCTATATTCTGCTTCCTAACAATCTGGAAATGGAACACAGCAAGTCAACTAAGACAACAAAAAACTGCTCATCTGAATAATGAAAGTCATATTAAGATTTAAAAACAAAATAGAGGAGCTAGAGTAATAGTCTAGTGGCAAGGTATTGCTTGCCTTGTTCATGGCTGACCTGGGTTCAGTTTGTCAGTATCATATATGATCCCCTGAGCCTGCCAGGAGCGATCCCTTAGTATAGAAGCAGGAGTAAGCCCTGCGCATCGCTGGGTGACTATCAGCAAGGGGGGTAAAAAAAAAAAAAAGGGAGTACAGAAAGAGATGGTGGGATGGAGAGATACTATAGTGGGCAAGGTACTTGCTAGAATGCAGTTGACCTGCATTCTGACTTGGGTTCAGCAGTGCATGCTTCCTAGCGCACTGCCAGGAATAAACTTGAGCACAGAGTCAGAAAGTAAGCTCTAAGCATCATTGGGTGTGTCTCCCTTAAATAAAACAAAACAAGAATGAGCTAGGATGCTGTAAGAACCTAGGTTGTATATCTTAGCTAGATGTTTTGGGTAAGGCTGGAAAGTGCCCAGGGCCTTACTCATGCAGTACTATGTGTTCTACTTGAATCATATATCCAACGCTCCTCTAAGCTATATCTATTTTTGTTTTTGTTTTATAGGCCACACCCAGTAGTGCTCAGGGGACAATGGGGGCCCAGGAATTGAACTTGGAATTTCTGCATGCAATGCACGTGCCCTAGCACTCTGAGCAATAGCCCCAGCCCCTCAAAAGAGAATGTGCTTTGTTTTTCCTTGGCAGTAACTGGTGGTGCTCAGGAAACTATGCTGTGCTGGGGACTGAACTTGGCCTTCCTGAATGCAAAGCATGTGCTCCAGAGCCTATCACGCTCCCTCTGGCACCAAAGAAAGAATTCTGTAAAGCAAAAGGAATCCTATCTAGAATGGGGACAGAGGTTCTGAGTAGTCAAAAGTTGTGTTTTGGAGGGGGTGGGGGTGGATGGGTGTTGTATCAAAACTTGGTGCCTCAGACAAAAGCTTGTCTTATCACTGACCTGTCTCCCTAGCCATTAGCCCAAGTTTTTATTGGCAAGTGCTCACTCTTACTCTCTTTGAGTCATTTCTCTGACTCTTCTGTGGTTAAGGTGTAGCAAATTAACCCTTAGAGGAGGGAGGTGCAGGTGACAGGTGGAAAGCTGAGGGAATGCAGAAGGAACACTGTTGCAATTTCAGGTTGTGGTATCTTAAGGGGCTGGAGAACAGACTTTGCATGCAGAAGCCAACAGGATGGATCTTCAGCATTGCATGCTTCCCAGAGGACTGAGGGAATGCTCTCGCTCATTCCCAATGCCTCAGAGAAGCAAGTTAAAACACTTAATGACTTAACTTTGTGCGTGCATGTCTGTGTATCTATGTAAGTGTAACTATATACATACATATACACACACACATAATTATTTTGGGGGGAGGGTCACACCTGGCAGTGCTTAGGAAACCCTATGTAGTGCAGCAATCCACTTGGCCAAGATATCTTAACCCAGTCCTATCTCTTGGGCCTCAAACAGGAGCTAAAGGAAAACAGAACCTTGGTCTTGGAGGTGAGACAATATGAATGAGCTCTTACCCTCCAACTGACTTGCTTTTAGTACCTAACATGTGTAGGCCCCAGCTTTACCGTGTTGAACAAATGGGCAAGGTGCCTGCATTCTTGTATCAACACAGTGGCAGCAGCGCAGCGACTTGTGTAAACTAAGCCTCATCCAAGTGTGCACCTTATTAAGACTACACATGAAAAGGAGATCCACTGTAAAAGACGATTCAGGAAAACCAAGACCGTTATGAGAAAACGGAGAACAATCTACTTAAAAATATATTTAAAACCTAGAGCCGCAGAGATAGCACAGGGGTCAAGGGGCTTGCTTTGCATGCGGCCAAGCCAGGTTCCAACCCTGGCGTGGCACAGGGACGCCCGAGCCTGGGCAGGAGTGATCCCTGGGCCCTGCCAGGAGTGGGCCCAAACCCGAAAAACTGAAATAAAGATATTGGGCATTATTTCAACGTTGAATGGGGAAACGCCTTGCCCGAAGGGGCTTGGTTCGGTCCTGCGTCCTGCAGACGCGAACCCAAAACTCTGGGGTAAGCTACAGGCTGTGCGCACCCCAGTCACCCCAGGTGAGCCAGGGCCGCCGGGCACCGTGGCTGGCCCCAGTCGGGGCGCGCAGGCGGGTGGCGGACGACACGCAGGCCCCGGGAGCATTCCAGGCTCTCCTTGCGCGCCAAGGAGCCCAGGATCGGGGAACCGGGCCCGCTCCGGGCCTCGAGGGCCTACCTTGGGGGCGTTGTGGCCCACGGGGACGTGCGGCCCCCTCCGCGACTTCATGGCAAAGCGCATGATCTGCCTCTTGACAAAGATGAACAGCAGCACAAACACCTGCCGAGAGACGCGGAGAGCCCTGAGCGCGACGCCAGGGCCGCGCCCACGCGGACTCGCGCGGGGTCCGGAGCTGCGGCGGGGGCGCCCGGCGCGGAGGTAACGCGCGGGGGAGCGGCGGGACGGGGCTGCCCCGAAGGGGGGTGGCGCGGGGTCTCACCAGGCTGCCGTAGGCCATCACCAGCACGACGTTCACCCCGGACAACCAGTTACTGCTGGGCGCCATGCCCCCCCACCACCCTGCGCCGGTCGGCTCCGCAGGGCCCCGCCGCCCTGTCAGCACGGGCCGCCCCGCAGCTCCTCGGCCATTTCCTCACAGGGAAACAGCCAGGTGGACCCGGCCCGAAAACATGGCGGCCACCATGGGGGGCGGGGAGCGGAGAACACCACCCCGCCCCGCCCCCCCCGCGCGGGCGCTCGGCACGTGACCCGGGGCAGCGCCCGCAGCCGGGCGCCCAGGCGGCGGAAGAACGCCCGGAAGAGGAAGCGGCCGCCGGCCGCGCGTCACGTGGCGAGGCGGGGCCAGCGCGGCGGAGGCGGGGCGGCCGCGCGCCGCCGGAGTCAGGCGTCTCGTGGCGCGGCGGCGCGCGCACGCCTGCGTGCGCGGCCCTTTCGCGTCACGTGCTGAGGGACGCAGGAAGGCAAGTGGGAGGGGGAAGGCGCGAGCGCGAGCGCGAGAGGGAAAAGCAGGGAGGGGGGTGGGGAGGAGGGAATCTTAGATCACGTGACAGGGGCGGCGCGGCCCGGGGTGTCAGTGTGGAGGAGACTGAGGTAAAGTTGGGAGCGCAGCGGCGTTGGCGGCGGCGGCGGCGGCAGCGGCAGCGCGGCGGGGCCGGGTATTGTCCGCGGCCCCTTTAAATCCGCGATCCCCCTTTTACCCTCCCTCCCTTCTCCCCTACCCCGCCGTGCCCCCCCTCGGTCGAGGCCCCCCGCACCGTGTGTCCCCCTGCCGTACGCCCCCCAGTCCTGCGAACCTTGGCGCGTCCCCCTCCCCCCCCGCACAGCGAGTCGGCCGCCCGAGGTTTTGTTTATGGTCGGCTTCGCGGCCTACTGGGCCGCGCCAGAGCCGGGGCCTCGATTTGGGAGCGTGGCCGGGGCGGGGCTTGGGGTAGCCGGGGCGGGCGGGGGGGGGCCATGCGGCTGGAGCTTGAAGCGAGTGGGGGAGAGCGAGAAAGAGCGCGAGTGAGCGAGGCCCGGGCCCCGCCTGAGGTAGGGCTCGGTCCGGACCGCGGTCGGCGCTGGTGGAGGAGACGCGGGGGGGTCCCCCGCCCCTCCCGGCCCGCTGCGGGCCTCCCCGAGCCGGCTCCGGCCTGGCGTGGGGGGGCGGGGAGGGCAGCGGGGTGGAGCTGCCCCAAACTCCCCCATGTGGCCCTCGCTCCGGAGTGCGGAGGCCGAATTGGTTCCGGGTGGGAGGGAAGGCGGCGATTGGCCCCCGCGAGCGCCCGAGGTGGCGCCGAGCGAGCGGGGTGCGCCCCCCCGCCACGCGTGGGCTTGCGGCCCCTCTCGGGCCCCGCTCTTTGTCATGCCCCTCGGCACCCTCCGCCGGCGCCTCCGCTCGGCGCGCCGGCCCGTTTCCTCCCCGCCGTTCCCCCGGAGGTGGGGGGGGCCCGAAACAATTCTGCCGCGACTGGGGCGATGGGGGTCTCCTTCGCCGAGGCGAGGGATTACGCCTCGGGGACGTCACTCGGGCACTCGGGCGGGCGGCGACTCCGCTGCCGCTGGGACGGGGGACCCCGATTTCCTTTCCGCGGCCCTCCGGCCCGCCGCGCGGCCGGTGTCACAAACAGGCCGCTGGTTGCCACCCTTCTGGCCGCGGGGCCGCCCCTGGCCGAGCGTGTGGTGGGAAGAAAAGACCCCAGCACAGGCGTTGGTTTTTTGGTCATTGTTAATCGACCCCGAGGATTCGGAGGGGGGGATCTGTTTTGTTTTGGTCCCCCTCTCCGCCTCCTCCGCCTCTCCCCGGCCGGCCCTACGTCCTGGTCCTGCTTTGGGGACGTCGGAGGGGACTTGGGCGGTGGAGAGGTGGGGGGCGCCTGCGCCTTGCCGGAGATCCCGGTCCTCAGGCTGAGACCCTACCCCCGTTATCTGCAGAGATGAGACTGTCAGATGGTGTTGGGTGCGGGCGGGAGCTCCCGACCGGAGCCTGAAGACGTGTGCTGCCGGGTGTGGGTCTCGGAAGCCTCCCTGGGGCCTCACTCGGGGAAGGGTGCCCCGAGATTGGAGGCCGGGGGTCTTGTTAACGGAGCCCCTAGGGGATTCCAGGGCTCCGTTGGAGGCAGCAGGCCGGCTCCCCCCAGTCCAGCCTCAGTTTCTGAATTGTCTTCGCCAATTAGATTGTGAGCTCCCTGAGGGCAGTGACCCAGTCGTATTGCTTTTGTATTTTTTAAAGTACTGGACACGTAGTAGATGCTCAATAAATGCTTGTGATTTGTTTTTTTCCTGTAAAATTTCTCTGGCTATTTTTTTAAGTAGCTGGTTTTCAAAACATGGTCGAAGGCACTTCTGTGTTGAAACCTGTACTTGTTCCTTTGCTCTTTCTCTAGTGTCTGATCCTTGTCACTTTTACTCTCTTTAATATTTTTGTTTCTTAAGAAAGAGTGCTTCAGAGTTCTTGTCTCCTTGTGCTAACTCTGGGTATGTGTCTCTGTTACTGCAAGGCTGCTAATTCTGTGCTCTCCAGTGATCCATCCACGATCACTAACTTTGGACCTGTTGCTCCGTGTTGTTACTACCTAGGTGGTAAAAATTTTTAAGTCACATTTCAAAGCACTTCCAAGAGGTAAATGGAAGCTAATAGCAAAAGTGATTAGGAGGATTCCCCCCCTTCCGGTAATTATGTGGCTTTCAGAGTGTCTTTAATATATATCATTGACTGGTTTGGTACACTGTGGTACAAGTAACTAGTCATGCAATTCACATCTGCATTGTAACTCATGCTCACAAATTGAAATCACATACGGACAAGAAAACATTTAGTACTTGTAAGTTATAGGAGTGGCAACTCCTAGAAACTTCATCATAGTGCATAACAATTTTCCTCTTCTTCCTCTCCCCCCTTGTTGCTTTGAATTCAGGGGTACTTGGGTAAACAACACCTTTTTTTTTTTTTTGGTAAATTAAGTGTTTAAACAACTATACTCTCAGCCTGGGAAAATGGACTACTCTGTAGCAAGTAAATTCTGTGCTAGCTGGAAATATTTTCAGGACTTGATGTGTGCACCTGGGTAGGGGCAAGAGGTAATTGTTAAAAGTCAGCTCTGATGTAGCCTTAAAAATCTTGGTAAGGGTTGGGGATGTAGTTCAGTAGTAGAAAACTTGCACTGAGCTGCAAAACTTGCACTGAGCTGCAAAAAAGAAAAAAAAGGAATGTCTTTGTTTTAGACAATGTAGAACTTAATTCTTACTGACCAGACTGCATCAAAGAAACAAAGACCTCTGCAACTAGTGACTGCAGTGGCTAGAAATTTGTTTACAGGGAAGTTAGCTTTCTTTGTTTCCAAGAAATAGGTGAAATTTGTTTCACTAATAGTTAATCCTCATTTTTTATTAGAAACCTACATTTTCTCAAGTCCACCTTTTCACCACCTTTCTCCAGCCCGAGCAGTCTAGCATTGTCTCCTGGGTAGTTTAGAGTTAACCTGAATTCACTAGTGAAAAAATAAATCCAACGCAGAAAGGTATATAAACTGCTTTTCAAGGGGACAGAACAATTCAGAATAACCTTATTTTGATTACCCATCACATGATGAATGTTTTCTTTGTTTAATAAATGCAGCAGCTGAGATTGCATTATAAAGCAAAGTATGAATAATGGGAACTTAAATTCAATAGAATCCTTTCTTGTTGAAAGTGTTGGTATATTAAAAACCTGGTTTGGGGAAGGCCTTGTATGTTCTGTGTCTCTTTAAAGACTCAACAAGGACATGCCAGCAATGATGTCTCAAATTTAACATTTCCCAGAAGCTCTTTCCGCCAAATAAAACTTTGTGCTAGATGCTTTTGGTTTGGGACAAATTTGGGACTCTGTATATTAAGGTGAGTGGTGGAGGGTAATTACAACTCTGGTTTCTTGAAACTGTGGACTAGAAGACCAAAAGCAGCCTGTTGTCATTACTTGCCAAGGAACTGAGATTCTGGGAAAGTTCACTGACATTGAAACATATCTTCTTGAAGACTGTTGGAGCTCCCCTATCGCATCCTGAGAGCTAGAAATGACAGAAAAAGTCTAGATTTGAGATGTTGTTTCCCAGAGGGTGGAGATTACATGCAACTTATTTAGAACAAGGTTTTTAAGGCAGTTAAAGTTATTTTCATAGGGCACAGTATTTGAAATGATTTTTATTTGGAATGTAGTCTAATAAATTTCCTAGAAGGATTTTGTTTCTTGGCTTCACTGGTTATCTTTCTTTTTGTTGAAGGGACTTATAGATATTTTCACCTATATAAAATATAGACTGTTGATTATTAACAGTTGGTTTGCTTTCAAGGCAGCAGAACTTCACAAAGCCTGCTTGCAGGGTACTAGTTACCAGATTGTGTAACTTTTAAAAAAACACAAACCATCATTTATATATGCTTTATATATTTCTTGGCACACAAAAATGGTTTAACAGCCATATTTCTTAAGAACTTAATTTATCCAGCTGTCTCAAGAACAGTGAATCGCCATGGTTTTTTATTTGGAAGAAAGGAAAGTGGTGAAGGTATTGATGAAAGAGGTTGAAAACATTGTGTCCACATTAAACATCTAAACTCCTTTTTTGTTGTTTTTTTTTTAACTTTCAGTATTCTACCTTGTAAATACTATTATTTGTATATACTGTAAATGATGACGTCGGTGGGCACTAACCGAGCCCGGGGAAACTGGGAACAACCTCAAAACCAAAACCAGACACAGCACAAGCAGCGGCCACAGGTAAAGAACCAAGGGATAGGATCTATGAGCAGCCTTGCTGCTGATGGTTACTGGTTTACATGCAGTGCAGCAGCAACATCCTATGTTTTGGGATTTTGATATGGTTCCTCTTTCCTGGCGATGGGGCACACCCAGGTCTGATCATAAGGGGTCATTTCATTGGCGCAGAAGGCCCAGACAATGCTGGGGATCAGAATGGAGATGGCCACATGCAAAGCATGCAGTATGCTCTTCATTTTGAACTATTCTTCCTGAGCCCCACCCCAACCTGTGTTTTTGTTTTGTTTTTGTGGTACCAGGAGCTTATAAAAGTTTAACTGTTTAGGAAGAACTTGTCCTGTGCTTTAATCTCAAGATGACATTTTCTTTTTGTT